ACCTACTTCTTCGTATCTCATTTGCTTTCACTGCATTTATTGCTTTTAGTCGAAATTGCCAGATGATATTGTAGCTGAATCAGTTCCTAATCGTGGTACCAGGCGTTGCCCACAGACCTCAGCGTCCTAGTGATCAAGGCGTCACTCCTTAACCTATAGGCTCTGAATCACACTTTCAGCTCAAGTTCTATCTTACGCGCCCAAACGAGGACACTGCAGGTCGTGGCGTGTCAGTTTTGGGGGAAAAACACCGAAATCCCTCCACTTCGGATACGGTCGTTGTGCTTTGAATGACCGAGGTCTACTTCAGATGGAACCGAGGTCCCAATATAAATCGCTTGATGCAGTCCAACCACACGGCGAGTAATCCGGATCTCAGTTCTGAAAATTTAGTCTGTTTCAGTTTGCCAACTTTGTTCCTTGCACTGAGGCGCGTCGTGGATCCGGTTGTCTTGATACACTCTACCAAGGGTCCGAAACCTAGGGATGAAGACAGGAGTGCCATTTGACTCGGTGATTGCGCCGTATTTGATAATGTATCTCCTACCATCAATGTGGCTGATTTCGAGGCCACTATTCCGGCGTGAGGACTGGCGCCAGCCCGATTCGGCCTTCCGGTAACTTTCTTCATGCTCTCTTGTCACATCATTGACTGATCTCCTCGGGTTTACACCCAATCTGGCACAGCAGCGGCTAACAATACACCCCGAAACAGCTGGGTTGTATGCATAAAGAGCACATGACCGGGCCAGCGATGGCGATTTGAGTTCAACAAGCACTATTCAATGTGGCACTGACGAGTTTAGGGCCCATCACCAGATGTCAGGCTCTAATACTACTCACTCGGTTCTCCCACAACAGATGGACAACATTGTGCAGGCATTGATGGCCTAACACGTTTAGTCTGCCACTGTCCTGGGCATTCAACTGCCAAGTCCCTGATTCATACATTCACATTGACTACACTGCAACCTTATACACCGTGTCCTTAACCACTGGCATTGCATCTCGCTGTCTCCGTAACTGATCCATACCATTTCACAGTCGATTACATCCATAGGGTTTTCAACTTCCTCCTTAAGGAACATGACCTTCCTCCATAAACCTATCAAGTTGATCCTTGCTACTATCAGATTGCATTCAATGGGTGCGAGCACCCTTAACCACCTGCTATTCCTAAAGTGACGAGCCCAAATCAGCCAATAATAAATGAGATGAGTACACAGAATGTGGTGCTATGGGCTGATTTGGGATTGGTCGCTCAACGACAGCACGCATTTAGCGGTGTTTATGCCCTTTGCATGCAAATTGATAGCGGTAAGGACCATATTGCGTGATCTACGAAGGGAAATGATTTCCGTAAGTTAGCATTTGAAAGCACTTGTATACAATTGACTGAGAAGAAGTATGGGCTCAAAAAATATCTAGAAGCTGACCGAAAAGTGTTGTGCTGCATACCGATCTGATTCCACGGGATCTCTTGTATTGATGAAGGAAAGAACTTTCTGATATACCGCAGTTTCTGTCCATTATCTTACAGTGTAACAATTCCATTCCCATTACTTTATTTTTGGCTGTTCTTTCACACTTGCATCTTCATTTTGTATTGTGATGTAAGAGCTCACTACTTTGTAATTTCACACTTCGGTGTTCGAATGATGGTCGATTCTGTGGACAAAACGTGGTTTTGTACAATATGAATGTATGGATCGTATTTGAATTTCCTTTTTGCTCTGGTTTTCCCTTATATCAAGTGACTGTGTCTTCCCGTTTACCTCCCTCCGATCAGAAGCATATCGCTCTTCGCCGTAGCGTCCGCATTTGGTTGGCACGTGACCGACTTGTACTGCGCTTGGTGTTTAACTTCATCAGTGCAACGCGTTGCTCCAACCTTCCTCACAATCATACAATTTGATTTCTGCAAGCTGCGCTCACATGCGACATATCTGTTGCTTCGTGACTGGCGGCTACGGCGGCTCATCGCACCACTTTGTACCCAGTCGTCTGCTGTGTTTCGAATAGGCACTGTGATTGTATACGTGTATCTGTTTTTGAGGGACTCAGGCACTTGGCTTGTACTTCAAGGATCATCAGTTCGAGCACGTGTGTAGGTGTTAGCGAATTCACAACATCCCGGCTCTCATGCAGCCGCATACTGCTGATTTCTCCCTTTTCGCCTTCTGTGACCAACTTCAACACGATCGGCCAAAATCCACACCCTACCCAAACCCTAACTGAATTTCCAATTGCAGTCCAGGCTTCTGACCATGGGTGCCAACCACTCATAGATCAATACAAAGCAGTCAGAATGGAAGTGTTAAACTTCGAGATGATCGATGGGGACTGTGGTACATCAGAAAGCTCTTTCGTTCACGAATACAACAGATCCCGTGGAATCGGATTAGTATGCAACATAACTCTTTTCGGTCAGCTTCTATATGCATTTTAAGATCCATACCAATACAATCAATTTCAAATGAATGATTAGTGTAAAAAATTGCAAATCCATCTGGTCCACTTTTCTTGATTCAGACCATGCTCTTGTCTGAGCGAACATCTGCATGAGTTTTGGAGGGTCCGTGGAAACAAAACACTTGAGGTAGACACAACTGAACTATCTACTGTCTCGGTTCAGCAGAGCTACCAACTTTCTCTGGCCGGTACACCCGGCTACAACTCACCGGAAGAGATTATTGAGCACTGGACGTTCATGCAGAGGACTGTCAGTCTGTGGTCTTACTCGGCACCCTATGAAGGTTTGGCTTTTCACACGCTCTCTTGATCTATTTGACCACCGCAGAAATATCCCAGTGGAGTCTGATCATGATGAAGTGCGCCATTCTGTCAGTCGGCAGTTCATACAAAGCCTACGCAGTGAACGTAAGGTCTGATGGTCGCAGCTTGTTTCGGAAATGGAGATCGCCGCCCTCTGGCATTACTCACAAACTCATTTGATCCACTGGCCACCGAAATCCTGGTGTCAGTGAGACTATGTGCGAAGCGGATGGGTCGCCGATTGCTCACTTACAAAGACGCTTGTACCGATGGGCCGAACATTTTCATTCCCAATTCAGTGGGCCCTCACCGTCCACTTATATACCCTGCGAACCCAGGTGCCCGCGCTGGGTCGTCACACTTGATCCACCCAGGGAAGCGGAAGGTTGTCTTGCGACTCGACACCTAAGACGATGCAATGCTGCCGGCTCAAACGGACTTCCTCCCGAAATGTTTAAGTATAGAGGCTCAGTTATCATTAGCCAACTAACCTTGTTGTTCTCCCAAATCTGCCATGAAGAATAGGTTCCTTCTTCCTGGGGCGAATCAGTTATTGTCCTAATTTTTAAGAAGGGTGATCGCATTTCGTGTACCAACCACCGGGGATTAATTTCATTTCGGTTGCCTTCAAGCTATTGGCATCCATTCTTCTTCGTAGACTATCTCCCATTTGCATATCCCAGTACCGAGAAGAACAAACTGACTTCCGGTGTGTGGATCAGATATTCACACTCCGTCGAATCCTGGAACACTGCCACCTTTACCAGAAGCCTACCATCGATGTATTCCTGAACATCAGTGCCGCCTTCGACTCGGTAGATCGAGCTGTACTACAGCGTTGTTTGCTTAGAAACGGTCTCCCAGTAAAGTACACTGCCATTCTACGCGCGCTGTATTTCCACATCTCCGACAGAGTTAGGGTGTATGGCAGGCTTTCATTGTCCTTCTCTGTCAATAGCGGTATACGGTAGGGCTGCCTCGTTCCTCTTCAATTTTGCGATTGTAGACGTCCTGTCGAGAGCTCTTGGCGGTTACCAAGATTTTGGTCCATCGCTACTACCGGGTAAGCGCGTGACCGACTAAGATTATGCCGATGATATCGCTTTACTTGTTGACGACTCACAAAGAATGCAAACCATTCTAGACCGTTTGGCGATTGAGGCATCTAGGTACGGAATGTGCTTTGCCCCGTCAAAGTGTAGAGTGCTGCTCCAGGATTGGCACTCAACCGTTCCCGTGCTCAGTATTGAAAGCACACAGCTTGAACAAGTGGATAGTTTTGTCTGCCCGGGCAGCTGTCGCTGCTGGTGGTACTATTGGAAAAGAAGTTTCTCTTCGTATCGCCAAAGCTCGATCGGCATTTGTCAACCTGCAGCATCTGTGGCGTCGTCGGGATATCTCCCTCTTGGTACAGGGTCGTGTTTATAACGCTACCGTTCGGACGGTGTTGCTATAGGGAAGTGAGCCATGGCCGGTTCGCGTAGACGACATGCGCGGGCTCTCGGCCTTCGACCACGAATGCTTGAGGAGGATTGCTCGTGTCTGCTGGAAACAACGCATTTGCAACAGTGAAGTCAGATGTCGTGTCTCCGAATGCGAGTATTCCCTACAACAAGCTGGTTTTGCTGCGCCTGTTACTATGGCTCGTTCGCATCTTACGTATGTCAGATGAGCATTTGCCCTATCGCGTTCTGTTTGCTTGTGCAGGACTCAACTGGAGGAGACCACGCGGTGGTCCACCATCCACTTGGCGAAATCATTGACTTCACATTTGTTTGGTTGGGGATCAAAGGACGAGAAGTGCCGTTGGCTGAAAACAATTCAGGATATGGCTCGTAGCGGAAAACACTGGAGGATCTGTGTACATACTTGTTTAGATTTGGATGCTTAACGATTGCAAATGACCAAAAATCTTTTTCAAATGGTATGTGCAAAATAACAAAAAGTGCTCTGTTTTTTCTTTTACTGCGGCACCATAGCTGAACTGTGATGCACACCTTCAGTTAATGTGCCATGATGATGTGGTACGGTGTTAAATCTGTCTTCTACTGATTTCCATGGTTATCTTTGGCTGTATGTCTATTTAGTAGACTGCTGCCCATACTACTTCTTCTTTGTTCCGCTTGCTAACTGACATTTTCTACTCTGTATCACCATTAATCAGTCTGTAACAGTAAAAGACAAGTGTATTTCTTATCGTTCTCCCAACTTTCCCTTTACTTTAGACAACCTGTTAGCTTGGCTGAAAGCTTGCTACGAGAACGCATGCGCTCCTCTGCTAATGGTGTCGCCGATATTCGCGTCAGCGATTCCGGCCGACTGGTGCTCACCGCTTCAAGTCGCATTTTCAGCGCGTCGGATAGCTCTGAGATAAATGTGAGTTTTAACTGCCGCTGAACGTTGTGCATCAATTCGAATGTCTCTCATCGAATTATCTTCCAAGCCAGTCACCGTTTACACTCCCATGAGTTGTAGTGCACCATCCATGAGGAAGTGGCGACTGAGCCATTCGAACTTATTTTCACTAGTGGAACGCATGAACTTTCGATCTTTGTTCCTTTTTTTCTTAATTAACGTAAATTGTCTTTGCCGGCTACTGGCCGAATGGATCACACACTTGCCTTGTAATCCGAACAATACCTTTCCGAGCCAGTTTAGGGGACCGGGAGGCCCCCGCACTAGGCCTACGCGCGACTGCGTATGGTTTATGTCTTACGGGCATATTGGTACGATTCTCATAACAGGTCACTGTGTACTGTTGCTTAGTCGCCGGCGTTTGAATATATACATGGCGCTGCCATTTCGTTGACCTTCGGCTGCAGTACCGAATTCTGTCTCCTTCGGGCGACTCAGAGGGATGGCGCCTCAACATTCCGTCAGGTCTTGCCTTAGCTACGATACTATGGTGCATCACTTTCGTAGGCGAATTTCGTTAATGAATGAAAACGCGATCAGCCAATTAGTACGGGAGAAATTCACCGCGTTTGTGTGACGGGCAAAATAGTGTTTAGCGTGTCTGGCCGAAATAGGCTCACATTGTTGTGCATATCCGCCTTAGGGCCGCATGTTAGTGTAGGCATATGCATTGTTGTCGACCTGTCGACACTTCTGATTTGCCACATTTCTTCTCTACACTGCTTCCGCCTTTCCGTACAGGGCTCCTTGGAATTACTCGACCCAGTGGAGTCCCCCGTATCGGGTCCGCTGCAGCCGCGACTGTGTCCTTTCAACGACCGCCTCATAGCGTGTGTCACCAACGGACAGTTAACTGTGGGTGACGCCGACACGAACACCTGGGTTCAGTTGACCCATGGGTCCTCAGAGAGTGAGTCCCGCGTAACCTCATACCTCCTTTCTCTCCTTTCTCCTGTCTCTTGCTCATTCATCTCTGCCGTTTGCTGCATTGTTCCTGTCTACTTTATGTGGGTTTCCAACCGGAGTACATTGTTAGCGAGTTCGTTTTGGTCTCACTACGTTTAGTTGGCTGCAGTTGTGAGCATGAATTGATAACTCTCCAGGAATCACACGCCGGGTCGCGAGTACACTATTTCCCCTTGCTCTACATCCTTACACCCACTGCTAGACGTACCTCATCGTTATACCCGTTATTTTTCCTATTCGGATCCGCAAGACGGCACTCATGAAATCTTATGTTGTCAGTTACTATTCCTTACGCGCCATACCAAGCTCCCAAACTGACCTGAGCTACCAAGTTAATTTCGCCACACATGGTGTGTCAGTATCGCGTCTGAAATTAATATTCCGTTTGTTTTAACTGAGCTGTTTGAAATGCACTTTGAGGTCGCACACCGATTGTGATTGCATTTATGTTTTGTTGGTCAGTTTGTTCATTTACCCGTGGACTTTCTTCGCGTCTGTCATCAGTGACTGTACAACCCAGTTTGCTAGACGATGAAGTCATCTACAGTGCATCCTTTGCAGTAGCTAACTATCTTCAATATGAGTGTTGCGCCGGTGCAACTTTTACAAACGGTATTGCGATCTTTGCACCAACCTTTTACTCTACACCACCGGTTAGCCAGTTGACCTCTTCCTAGTCCCAGTTTGATGTCCCGGGTCTATCTTGTTCCTCCAGCCAATGATTCGGCTGCATTCATGCAAAAGGCGGTGCGTTTTCGCCTGATAAGAGTTCTTACCAAAAACCACGGATGTCCTGTTAACAATACCTCGATGTGACGGTTGTGGCTTGTCACTAACTTAAGTTACTACCTTTTTTTATTTCCCCCGCTAGAACTTATGAATACTCATATCATAAGGAGTATTGAGTCTCTTTTTGGTCACCGACCGAAGGAAAGGCGTATGAGCTAAGTCCTCGGTCACTGTCCTCTAATAAACTCGATTCCCTGATCCCGCTCCGCCGCGTTACGCATAGGCTATTTAGCCAAACGCTCGGGGTGGTGTTCTCCGAGATAACTCCTTACTACGGCTTAGACAACCAGGTTGTTCCGCGCCCTCTGACAAAGTCATTACTTATTCTGTATGGTGTGCGGACTCCTTTTCACGATAAGTGTACCTCCTTTCGAGTCCTATGGTTTTTAGTGGCTCCGTGTCTTTTATTAATATATATGCCACGGTGCTCAACTATGCTTGCCAACAAGCTTTCTGGGCTGGTCTATACCGTTTGCTTTTGTTAAGTGTCGATCGCGAGACTAGAACTTGACGGTCTTCCTGTTTCTGCTCCACCGGACTTCGTTGGTTGTCATTTTAATCCCTTGGTACCACTAGTGCTAGACTTGTAAATGTCTAGATATACTGGCGAAATCAATCTTTATGCCCTTTACATTGGATGATCCAGAAGGATCAAAATTCTTTTTTCCAGATCACAAACGTGGTGGGTAATTTTTCACGCGTTAATACTCAGCTCAGCCTCTGTGGAAGACTGTGGGACTCTATCTTTTTCTCAGCTTATTGCTGCCACCCACCAAGAGCATGTGCCGTGACTGGCGCGCACCCGAAATCGACCTTGTTTACAAACGAAGCGTCCACTGCGATTAGTAACCCTATATTAGCTTCTGTTTGTATCCACCAAAACTGCGTGTAAGTTGCTTCAACTGGACCAACCCCATCAGGACTCTGCCGTTATGTTTTTGAGCCACGTTACTTCAGGGATCGATGAACCGTTGGTATGTATCTTTGTGAGAGTGCCTTTACGTCATGGAAATGAGTCGTGTTTCAGGGACTTTCCTTGTAACTCTTTGGGGATTTTCACTTTTCGTCATCGGTATGGGAGTATTTCTAATCCAAGGCCTGCACGTTACTGCCAACCTCCTGATGATCGACCAAATCTATGTGGAACAACTACCCTTAACCGCCGACTTTCCTACTCCAGAAGTCGAAGGTCAGTGAGAGGCCTATAAATGCAGCCAAGGTCTGTTGCAGTTGTACAATGTTTTGTTGACAGCGGCTAACTCGTCACTTTGTCAAGGTCATTGGCCTTCTGATGTTTTCTTCGGTTGGGCCAGAAGTTTTGCGGAGCAGTAACGTTCCTATTACGGAATCGTGTCAAGTGGGAAGATTATAACCATTTCCTTCTGGCCCCAGATGATGGCCGTCAAAAGAGGCTAGTCTAAACACAAACCATGCACCGTCATCTCCCATCAGCGCTAAATAGACATCAACGAGTGGCGCTATCCTTCCCTTCATCAACACAAGCTCATCTCGTATCTGTTCGATGTTCGTTCATCAGAACTAGCGAGAAATGATGCAAACGGACCGACCCAATGCTTCTCTCCATTTTTCAACTTTGCTTGCAAGTCTATCTGTCTCGGATCGGATCATCTACCCACCTCCCTCCACTTTTGTCGCTCTCAACTGGCCTTTCCTGGATCCAAACATCGGATTCGTTTACATAACGCTCTGCTGTTTCCAATTGCATTGATTTCCCCCTCTCTCTCTCTCTATTGTTACCGTCATCCTACTCTTCTATGCACTCCCGAGATCCGTGATCAGATCACTCTTTTTGGTGTTGCTGGCTGTCTGATACTGAGTTCTCAACGAGAGCATATCCCACGAATCAATTAATTCACTGTTTCGGCTTCCCACACTATGCAGGCAATTGAATTCATAAGCCCTCTTCAGCGTTTTTTTCAGAAGCAGCTTCGCTCCTTTGTTTCTTACTTTCAAATACTGCTTACTTTCCTCGTCTGCCTTACTGTCGAGTCGACGCATTCGTCCTCTGATAGTCGGCTTGGGAAAACTTGCGATTGGCGTCAATTTGGAAATAAATAAGGACTGGGATAGCTAGTTTGAGTGGTCTCACCACAAACTGATAACTGTTCCGCATGACTGCGGGGCAAATCTAGCTTTGAAAGGGGACTGTAGAATGCAGTGAGACAGTGGTGGACGGTTCACTGAACCTGTAGGATGACGCTGCTGCACTTGGGCATTAAATCTAACCGAAGCAACCCATTGTACTGCCTCATCTCTCGGAACTTCACCCTATGCGGTGCACTCAGTGCTTCTTATACCAAGCGTTTTAAGTGAACTGTTTGCACCAGTCTTGCACGTTTTGCAACCATTGCCGTTTCTTGCGAAGCGCTCCATGGGATTTACTATATAAGCCATTATCCACCATCTAATATAGTTCTATATGTTTACACGACGTGTTTACTTTCGTGAAAGTATGGCACTTCCGGACCAGAAGGCAATGCCTGGCATCTCGGCTTGCTTTGCTCCCCTTTCATCTCGGTCGTGCACATTTGGAGCATGTCTGGGCGCTTACAGCATACTGTCACACGTTTTGTAGTGTTGTGACCTATTCACCCTCCATCCGGTTCTCCATTTTTCAAAATTTCAGGTGGCATTTCCTTTGGCATGCCGTCCTACGTGGTTCAAGAAGAATTCGATCGATATGTCGGTTTTTGGTGGCAACCAACAAGTACGTTCTAGTGTATGTACATACCTCCCGTTCATTTCTAGCCAGTCAACAACCCCGTCCCCTCAGTAGCCAACCGCCATCCCAATCCTACTCGCCTTATACTAGTCGATTCCAGTTATATTGCGTATCATACTATCATTATTTTTTGTTATTTTTAATGTAATCATTGAATACGTAACCTGCCCTCCGCCCGCCCTGGTACCAGTTTTGTGTGCTCTTCTCTCAGAGTTGCTTGGTTTCTGCTTGCTTATCGTTTCATCTATCCCAGCTCATGTAGTAAGTCAATCTCTCATGAGGATGAAGCACATGTTTTGACTTGATCTTATCACGTTCACATGTTCACACAGCGTTTGCGACATTTGCTTTCGACACATGGTTGGCGGCATCCGGTTCCGGATTTGCCTGTCACTGTGGCCTCCATAGGACACCTGCCTCTACAGAAGCACCTTGGTTGGCTTGCACTGCGCCACCCGTTGCACGCCTCACAGATTCATCCAGACACTCCATATCCAGTGTGAACCCGAAGGAATAAGACCAGGAGGCATGTGCATAGGAACCACGTTCCATCAATGGAGCCGGCCCACACTCCTTCACAGGCAAACACAAGCACACTGTATTTGGGGAATCAACCGCACATAAGGCGGTGGCTGGGTCGTAGTCCGCTCCACACTGAGTGCATGGAACCACTCTTTGAGCCTAGCACGACCACGAGGACCGTGCACTCCGTCCCGCCAGCAACGATTCACAGTCTCATGGAGGCAGTAATCGAGGTGGAGGGTGGTAGACAGGTAGGAGGCACCTTGTCAACATTCACATCAAGCGCGGTCACACCGGGGATATCAAACGACTAACATATTATTTAAGGAAAACCAAACACGCAAAATTGACACAGAATATACAGCAGGGTAACAGAATTGAACCAACCAAATAAAGTTGAATGACTTATCCAGATTAAAAAGACATAGTTCAAGTGCATTTGGTTTAGTCCAGCTGCGATGAATAAGTATTATGTATGCAACACAAACCTTAGCATGGGGCACACTTTTGACACAAAGCCCCATGCTTATGCCATGTATTGTTGCGCATGAGGCAGACTAATCCATCAGCCAATACGCATAGTGGATACAACCACAGCTGTGCCCGAATAAAGTTTGGCCACTGGATGGCCGAACGTACCGCAGTCATCCCTTTTTGTGCACAGTATTCCGATTTAGGGGTGCAGGTGCGTCTTTCCCCATAAGTCGGAATTGGGATATTGTTAGATCTGCCTCTTTCTATGCGATTCCAGTTGAACAGATCTCGTTCCCTGTTACCTTTTAAATCCCAGGCTAAATCAACTATCTACTCCTTGGAGCAAAATCTTGTTGGTGGAGCAGCTACCGCAATGGGCACAATTATTGTAAAATCAATGGATATTTATAGGTCACTCAGGAGTGTTCACTTTCCAGAACAGCTACTTTATCTGTTCTGCTTGGTAGTTCAGTCGCGCTAGCCATTAAGCGGTAGGGACACATGTCACGTGATGGACCCGTGTTTCTGGAGCGTCTTGATGCTTCAGCTACGTTGACTCAAATTGTTTTCCCATTGTAACAATATTGTTTCGTGCACGTGGTGCGCCCATTTATGTACCTGCTTGTTGGAGCTGCATTAACGACTCTTTCTTTCCGCAAGGATTTGTCCCTGGCTATATGACTCCTATACAGGCTCACTTGGATATGCTTACAAACCACAAACTTCGTGACAAACGGTTCATTGCCTGATTACCTCTAAACGTTCTCAACGCAACGAATAATTTTTCATGGCTGCAGCCATTTGTGTCGATTCCATCGGCTAAGGCATGTTTTGATGAAATCCCATGTTAACACTCTTTCTCGCTATCCGTTATTACGTTTGTGCCCTGCACTTTTTGGGAGACCATAGATCTGCATCCTATTTCCGGCTGATGGACTCATTTACTACAGAATATAAATTGTGGCGGAGAGGAATATCCAACAGACTAATGGCGCTTATGTTGTGCCTGACTCTGCTAGAGTAGGGAGTGGACCAATCCCCATTAAGGAACAATGAACAGGGCGAGTACACTGGAGTGTATTCTAGCCCAAAACGTGAATCAGAAGTGAGTTAAATTACACTGTACAGTCTGCGTTGGTTATCATTCAATCACTCATGGGCGTTGATTTCAAATCAAGCGTTAGTCTATTGCTCGACATCTTTCCGATGTGCTACAATCTGACCGTTGGGCATCAGCTGGCTTTGTTCTTGGGCTTAGCTCGATCGGGTCTTCGGGGTAGATGATTGAGTGACCACAATTCACCAGCTCCGTTGGGTTGCACTCGCGAAACCGTACCATCTTAGTAGTTTTTTCTTGTCTACAGTTTCGATTACTGTTCAGTTGGATCGTTGAAATCAATTGCTGATGCATTGAATTCGGTTGCATTTTTACCCCAAGCGTGAAACAAAAAAACCGCTTCTTTTTTCTTTGTATTGGTCCCAAGCGCTGCTACTAAATCACACAACAGATAAACATACGAGAAGGCAACAGTACTCCGCTGTTTGCATTCACACATTTCCGTACGAGCGTAGCCCAACTCCACCAGATGTCTTTCTATACCTTGAATCTACCTTATTGGTGATTTCAGTGACAACTAGTTAATCTAATGCTTCTAGTTCACTGCACCGTAAAAAACGTAATCAGATAAAGCTGCTAATCGGCATTGCTTACTGTTCGTTCAGCTACGTCTTGAGAGTTTGTAGCGACACCTAGGATTCTCGCGAACGTACTTCTACGTGGGTACATGAGGATCAGCCGCGGTTTTACGACAGCATCTTCGTCGTACACACGCTCCCAAAACCGCCACACCCATTGGGAGTAATTTCAAAGTGGCGCTCTCCGATAACACACCTTCAAAAGCATTTGGGAAACACTATTGCAGTGAATTGTGCTAACCAGAGTTACGCGCTCAAAGTCGACGTCGACTGCCGATAACTAACCGGTCTATTTATGCTGTAGCTCACTTACCTCTGACTTGTGTGAAGTTTGTTATTTCAATTTTAGATTCACTATGCGCAATTCTATCCGACACCTATTTGTTATGATGGAGCTGATATTCTCGTGTGATAGTCAGTCGATTTAAGTGCATTCAGGCACCAACCCATCATAATTAACCCGTGTGAATATAAATCCGACTAGTTTCATAAGTTTTCTTCACTCACATCTGTTCCTAGTTTTTATGAATCGAACTAAAATATTGGACCAGTTAACCCATCCGAGGATCATCCATTCATAAGTGTCCACCTATTCACACGCTATGCGCAACGCTGGATACCGTAAACAATGACCGGGCGTACGTTGCACGTACTCAGATCAACGCAACTTATTCTGTGTTATTTGTCCTCCTAGTGACCTGACCTGTCATTATCTAGTGCCAATCCTCTCACAGCATCATGCTGTACGGCATGGGTAGTGCTTTCCAAGTGGCGGGGGTACCCACAGGTCGATTATATATACTGAATGCTTCACGATTCCGCGCGTTGCCCTTACGTAGTTTGTTAGATTTATCCCAGAAATGGGATGCCTATCCGCCTGCATAGCCGATTCCATGATTGCTGCACGTAACGGCGCTGTTAAATTCGTTGGTAGGTTTCTAGGTGTTTTTTCTGTTCTCCATGTCTGAGTTTCCCCAAAAACTGTCAATTTGGAGCACAAGCATTGATTCCGATCATGCATCTGTATGCGCTGCTCACCGGGTGCGCTTCCGTGATTGCACTGTTGTCAACCAGTAAATCCGGATGTTCTGAGTATGTGTTAAAGTACAATGACATCGAGCTGAGCAAGCACTCAATGAACGGAGTTCTTGGTCAGCAACAGGTATTCCTTCGTATGGCCAACCTGATTGTCAGTATGGACATTGGTCCTCCACACGATTTCTGCAGCTTCTCGATATTCACCGGCACATTTTAGCTAAACGCGAATACAACGCAACTCAGAGCGAATTGCGTGCTAATGTGAAGAGAGACCGCGAAATCTGGTGGTCTCATTGTGCATCCGATTTGGAAATGTCTGCTGATCTTGTTAACCACCGAAATTATTCCGTCTCATACTGGAAAGAGACAGTGGCAGACCTGGTGTTTGTGAAGCTTAATGCGACCAGTTGGGACATGTCATTTACAATCGAATCGGATTACTTAACTTGGATGAAGCTATCTTCGAATTCGGAGACAGGCTGTTGCGGTTGATTTGCACAATTTGTTACTGAAAATACGGGGTCAGGAAACTGTTCCAATTCCCCGAAGCTGCTGCACTGTTGTCATGAGTCTCGGAAGGGTCTGACGTTCCGAATTTCCGCGGTCGTAAAGGGATCAATGTGATGTCCATCATTCTTAAGTTGCGTGCGTCTGCCACTCCACGTAGAATGACTGTTACCGGAGAGATCCGAATCGTGAAGAGCAAGCCAAGTTTCGCGGAAGTCGAGGCCACATTAACCACACGCTCCTTTTACGTCAATTGTTAGGGCACCGCCATGTATGGTGACAAGCCACCTTAATCGTGCACCTGGACACATAGTGTCTTCGACTTGGTGCGGCTGTCTCATTAGGGGGTTGAGCACGGGCTGTACTTAGATATGTGAGATAGTTTTACGCTCATTGCTCCGGCAGACTGAAGGCTCGTGGCAAGCAGACATTATCATTCAACACTCCGGCGGTCTTGGGCAAGGATGCCTGCTATCGTCTTTTCTTTTTAGTTTTGCCGTTGATGAGGTTATGGAAATTGCCTTCACCGAACTCGGCGTAGTAGGCGCAGAGGTGCTTTCCGGTGATCGACTTCTCTAATTGGAATCCGCCGACAATATTATCTTACTCTATTGCAGTCTAAAAACATGCCAACCAGCGTTAGACGGATTATTACTGGCTTTCAGTACTTCCTTGTTGTGTTTCACAGTTTCAGATTTAAAACCTCTCCTCCGCGATTGGTAGAGACCAACCCTTGTACTGGCCCTTAGTGGGTATTAACCAGAAGTCTGGACATTCAGCTTACTGGTCGGGTATGCCAGTTCATGTTAATAGGACACGAGGGCACAAACTGTTGGGACACTTTTGCCAGTCATTGCCATTTATGGCATCAGCACAGCGTCACGCTCACTTGTTACCACCCTTTCAACCCTCCTGTGCGGTTACGAGACCTGACCCACTGGTTTCAAACATAAAGAGTCTATATACGTACGTCCAACGATGCCTTTGCAGTTCAGCTCATATCTGGCAAGCACTTTGAGCTTGTTTGTCGTGTTATTTATTGTCTAGAAAGAGCGAGTGAACCACTCAACACATAACAGGCTCCGATAGCTGGGCCACGTGTTGCGCATGCCTGCACACTGAATCTCACGACATGCGTTGTTCGCACAAAGGGGGTCTGGATAGAAGGAAAGAAAGGCCAACCGATCATGTGATCAAGCGAACTTGGCTACACTTGGTGCGTCCCCACTCCCGAGTTGGGATACTAAAGGTGCTGAATACGTTTGGTTGTGGACACTTGTTACGATGGGGAAGTGTTGACCTCAGTGGCGTTTGTATTGTATGTTTCTTTAATAATTCGCCTTCCCCTCCATCGACGATGTTACTATGTACACGTGATAAAAATAAAGCATAATTCTTTTTGTTAAGCTTTGTTTTTGGATTGTATTGCTGTACAATAGCCGAAGTTTTTCTCGCCTCGATTCGTATTCCTCTTCGATTGTGTTTAATTAAATAGCTAACCCTTAGTCAATGCAGCTTACGGTTGATTTGTCATAGAACTGGGTCTGTATCAGTTGACCGCTCGTGCTTCTCAGTGTACTTCTCTTTTCAGCAAAACTACCCTTCCATTCGGTTGGAACAACTTGTAATTTGTTTTGGTTTGCCTTTCCCACGACGTTTTATTGGTAGCCTACTGGTGGTCAAACTAGCCATGTGTGAGTAACTACATAAATCATAGTCAGAGATATACATGAACCTAAAGCAAATTAACTGTGTTCCTGTTGTGTGTGGGAGTTGCGATACAAATGCCCAATTTGGACTGCGGCCTATTTTCACTCAAACTTGGGTCTGTTAACTACCTGGTGATAAACCTTGGTTACGACTAGCGAGTACTTGTTTTTATAACTCGTGCACCTTTCTGTCTACTCCCAGTGTACATTGCATGTGTTCTGCCCGTGTCCCACTTCCTTACTCTAGCTAGCACAGCCTCGGTTACTCCTCAAGGCCGCCGCGTCTACCGCATTCTCTATGAGGTGGTCGATGAACGTGCTGTGCAATTGGTGCATCTTTTAAGCGGTCAAACTACAGAGGCACATCGCTATCCGAAAGCTGGTAAGGGAATTCACCTCTTCCTTTGATTTTTCGCTAGGTCATTTTAATACCCTCTACACAGCAGGCTTCCAGTCGGTTGTAATGTCCACCATTTTCTACGGACCGGCCTTCATCCACGTCTCCCTACTCTTCACCGAAAGTTCTCGTGTTTTTCACGTGGACATCGCCTACCGACTGTGTTCCCCAATCACATCAATAGTTCCTCTGATCGGTTGTTTAGCAAAACTGACCTTAGTTCCCACAAGGTAACACCATGTGGTGTTGTACCATCTCATTTATATGAAATGCTTATTGGTTAAATGATGACACCTCCCTCAACATCTCCCATTATACATGGTACTTATCAACAAGGGCTTGAAAACAGCACCTAGCATGTAACTGGTTAGTATATTCGGTAGGCGACGTTTCACTTTTAGCACAAAGCTACGTCAGGGCAAGTGAACCAACGAGTGATTGGCTCGACATTAAAAAAATAACAAGTCGGATGATAATCGCAACGACCGAGAGGCCAGTGAGTGGGTAATCACGTTACGGGTCAAAGTGTCATTTCAGCTGGCATATTACAGATGAAATGATCCATAGTGCGATGTCATCCTCGCTAGTAATGGAGCAGGGGTCCTCGTTCTCTGTCCCGTATCTTTTCTACCTATTTCTTAGTCCTCATTAGTATCCTCTTAGTTCGTCATAAATGCTATGCCTTTCACCCGCTGGTTCCTATAGTATTATGTCTGCCTACCACGTGCGATTCCTGTTCTTGCAATCAGGTGGTTCGTAATCTCTCAAACCAACCGAGAAATCAGACGACAAAGATATTGAGGAAAAGGAGCTGTTAACCGAAACAAACTGCCACGACACGGATCTTTACCATAATGCTTTGGTCTGGAAGTGATCCGTTTGTGGTCAACCCAGAGCTCGCCTAATTAGAGTTTCGTTCACACACAGTTTAGCATGCAATCTCTTGTACTTTATCGCTGGTCAATCGATCATACTTAATGTGAAGAAACTGATTCCGCTGAGAAGGTCATTGATCTATCCTAATACTTGGCCTGACAGAGGTTTTGTTTCAAACGTAAAACGTTGCCCACCAATCGCACCAACCGGTTTTCGTCAAACCCTTTCGAAGGTCACTCCCTTTTAACGTTTTTCTGTGCCTGTCCCCCTTCCTCTATTAGCTGAACCGGCTGCTACTGTTCCTATCTTGTTTGAGTTACTCCTTTCTTTGTCATTTTTTAACAAGCACTTCTTGTGACCTGAACCCTTTCGAGTTCCACTGCATCATAGCAATCAGCCTCTACGAGTTTCGTTTTAGCAAATTTCGAAGTACTTTAGACATCCTCATATGGAGCAGACAAATTCTGTGATATTTGTGTAGTGACCCAGAGCTGTAGCCCTTTTGATCTGTTTTCTTCGTCTCAGAATAGTATCGTTGCCGTCATGCCACCGAATGTGCTGATGATTGCTTTGCTACTCTTCGTATCCTGTCTACGCCCAATGCCAGCGTATTGTGAGGGAATCTCTATTGCCCACTGATTTCTCTGCCGTGCCCTTCTTCTTTCTGTCTTCTCTGGTCGTAATTGTCGTAGCACCACTCTGTGCACATGCCGCTCAATACGTTTTAGCCTACCAAATTTTCCTATGTTTTTAGATAGATTCATTCATTACGCTTAACGAGTTTCAGGCTCCTTTATTTGTCTACACCTGTATCGGGAGCTTTTCGGTCAATTCTTGTCTTAATCAACCCTCGTTCTTTATCACCCCCTTTTATCTAAATGACGTCACAGTTTTGATGTCACTTTAGGTCGTCACTTTACACCATCGGAGCTTTGTTCATATGACGGGTGGCTTCCATTTTGGCCCCTTCGTTTCTGCTTGCGACCACACAAGCAGCGGGTTCCATTCTTTTCACCGCAATGCTGAGCACATGGCACGTGCTTCTTAGAATCACCCAAAACGAATCGTAACCATACTCAGACGCCAACTAATGTCCCCTTGAAGGTCCACCAGGTTCTTCGACGTAGTATTTGTAAGTTACCTGGCTCTCTTGCGCAAACTATTGTGCAACCGGTGGGTTGGAATGTCCACATGGGTCATCCCTCCATTCCATGCCCATTGGTAAGGAGAGCAGACGCACCTTCTGTGACGTGCGTATGCAATCAGACGGATGGGACTTGTTTTACGTGACGAAGCAAGCAGCTAGATTACGGCAAACAAAGAGAGCAGATGATGGGATGTCTATACATCTCCGTGCCTACGCTGCTTAGTTAACTGTCGACTTACATGAAGTAAGTTCGTTTGTTGCGGCTGACCACAAAAAGGGGAGGATTCAATGGGAGTATGCAGTCAGAGGGACGGGACGGATTTACGTGACGGAGTGAAAAGCTAGATTGCAACAAATGAACGTCTTTGCGTCTACGCCGATTAATTACTACTTGACTACGCTGGAGTGAGTTTGATCGAAGCAAAGGAAGAATCTCATGAAATCATAAATGTCAGTTGTGGAAATGGCCTAGTTGTACAATTCAGTTATGCTGTCATATTCGTTGAGATTGCTCGGCCGAATAAACCGTTTGTCTCTGAAGCACTGAGTTCTGCGACGCCTTCATTGCTTGTGAATTACACGAATATATTGCATATCACATTCGTCCCACAAAAGTCGCAGCAAACTCGCGGCATTACCCATACGTTGGCATCCGATTCGGATTCGCACCTTTTTCTGTAAGGTTTTCCTTCTACCTAGGATTTGTCTATCGGGGCTTGTAGTTTCTAGTGTAAACACGAAGTGCTCCAGGTTGTTCTTCGTTAGGTTTGTGCATGACTCATGTAAAACACTTCCTCCAAGGAGGATCTTGGTTTTGGCAGGGACTTAAAATTTGTGTGAACGAAGCTGTCAAATGTCAGTAATGTAGTGCGATATTCCCACCGTGATACGACGCTAGTGACTGGATGGGTCATTCTAAGTCCGCGCAAGCTCACATAACCCAGACTCTATCCCCCGATATAAGGCGAAGAGCAAGTCATAAGACTTGGACCCTTTTTGCAGGTATTTCGGAATTTGATATCCTCTGCAAATAGAGGCCCATTGGCGCGATCCAACCCACGAAGCGCATCAGGAAAGCTTGAATATTACAGTTTTTTTTACTAGTGTGCTCATTTGATTTCGCGGATTGGAGAAAAAGTATGTTTGCGAAGTTACAAAATGGTGGCTGTTTTGTTTTCCTCATTTTATACCTCATTCCAATTCCAAATTACTATGGTAAACAAATGTGCTCTTGACTTTTGTGTCGAAATATTTATTTCCATTTTTGGCAGTTGCACCTATAACATCGTCATGAACCGTTAGCTGAAGACTGGGAAACTGTTAATTGTCTCACGGAAATATTACCGAATTCAGATGTAATTGTTACGCCATGTAATGTGTCTACTGAGAATACATAAACCGAGACGTTCTATGTATCTGTACTGCCTAATACGATGCAACACAAATCTGTTCCTAACCGCAGTCTCTGTATCCCTAAGTAAGAGGCGGAAATACAAAGACATATATCTTTCTTTAGGATTTATGAAGTTCAACAGTTGCCCACAGTGTGTCTTGTGTGACAAAGTTCTTCCATGGTGCCTGTACAAATGCAGCGGCGTTTTGAAAAAAAGCATGCTGGACTGTTGAGACAGGAAAATGGAGCACTTTTAGCGCAGATTGGATGAACTGTTGAACACCCAAAATTACATGCTTCACGCGTCCCAGACTATAAATGAAAAGGTGGCTGAAGCGTCTTAATTAGTTATAGTATTGCATTGACAGGAGATCACACAACAGCCATGTGCAGTCGAAATGACTAGGTGCATGCTAGATGAAAAACAGCAAAACAACTCTCTATTACCACAGTCAAATGATACGGTATCTCACAGAATTAAGACACTAGCAACTGCTGTTAAGGAGGATTTGACCTCCCGTATCAAGTTTACTAACTTTACTCTTCAAATGGATGAGTCGACGGATGTGGGATGACTTACCATGCTGATTGTACTTGTAAGATAACAACACCTACTGTCCCTGGAAGAGGACATGCATTTGTCTGAACCTATGCCGAAGAGCACTAGTGGCACAGAGATACTCATCATCGTTTATGCACGAAATTAACATTCCATGGGAAAATTGCATCGATATTTGCACTGATATTACCACATCACTGACAAGTATCAAAACCGTTTTATATTCTGCACAAGTAGCCAGTGTACTCTTCACCGACAAGCGCTTGTCGTGCGAAAAGTGACATCCAATCTCAAAACCGTCCTCTATGAGGTTGGGAAATTAGTTCTCAAAACCATCCTCTATGAGGATGGGGAATTAGTTAAATGCATTCAATTTCGGCCTATGAACAATCGACGGTTCAAGAGTTTATCTCACGACATGGGAAGTGTCCACACATTTTTACTGCTACATGCTGAAGCAACGTGGCTCTCTCGTGGTAAAATATTACTGCGTTTGTTAGAGAATTATTCGCCTTCTTCATGGATCATCATTTTCATTTAGAGTTCCAAGTGACTGCTAGACAGTGGTTGGCAAGACTTACCTATTTTAATCGTGACTTCTACTTTCTATGAACTTTACACTTCTCACAAACATCCACCATTAACTTACCTATTTGTCCGATATGCTCGCAAAAATAAATGACATAAACCTAGCAATGCAAATAAAATCTGCGACCATATTCGATGCAAATGATGAAACTCGAGGGCGCAAAAGCAATTTAGGATTTTGGACGATTTCTGTTTGTAATACAGATCTCGACATTTCTCCGGCATTAAAACACATAGTGGAAGAGATGTCGGACAGAGAAAGCCCGGAGGATCTATCCGAGGCAAATGTGCAGCATTTGGAAGATATGCTAGAATGCTTGTTTCAGCGAAGATGAGGAGCAATTAAAAGAATTTTCGTGGATCAAGAACCCAATCACTTGCATGACAAAGCTTCCTCCTTTCTCAACTATTCAGTGTGAGAAATTCATCAACATGATCTCATGTTCTTCCCTTCACAAATTGTCAGTCTGATTTCTGGTGTAAGATGAAGGACACTTACCCTGTCAACGAAGGCAGCTGACGCGGTTCTTCTCACATTTGCCACAAATGCGTGAAAGTGCATTTTCGCATTATATGCATGCAGCAATGGACTTGAAGCTAAACCAGATATGAGGTTGTAGCTTTCCTCAATAATACCAAATATCAAAAAGTCAGCACTGCATGTCAGAAGCACTTTCATTCCACACGTTAAACATTAATGTATGTTGTTTTTTCCAGCCTAGATTCAGCAGCTTACATTTTTCGCTAACGCGAATGAAGACCACTTGATTTAGTATACGGTAGTAAACATTTCCAGGACACTGCGCCTCATTTGCATCTCATTAAGGCCTAGTCCTTTGGTTGACAATATGTCAGGGGACTCACAGTGCGACGCTCCACTAAAATGGGGTCCACAGACCAAAATGTTTGAGAAACGCTGCTGTGTCCTCAAACCATTATCTGATTTCGTGAGCGTTCGATGTACCTCGTTCCCATCGCTGCTACCCCATGACTGGTTTCGTCCTCATTTGGACTCCTCAGGTAGATAGCCTGAGCCGAGCGTAGAACTCATGGCTTTGTGAGTAAGGGGCGACGCTTTGATCACTATGCAACTGAGATCCTTGAGCAACACCTAGTACAGCGGTTAGACATCGATTGTTGAGCGTTAGAGTACATGCAGTCAATCACTACGTTCAAGGTTACGCTCACAGTTTAGGCTATCTCTAGCTGCGTAGTACAAACGAGGGAAAAGTTGCATTTCGAATGTGGCTTAGATCCACTTTCGATTGTTTATTTGGTAGACCATGTCCGGGGTAGCCTTCCAGTTTTGCACTAAGTCCAACTAGCAAGATTGCGCATTGTCGTATAATTCTTTCCTTACTTTGATTAATTGTTTGCATTTTTGAAGCAGCCGTGGATGGTGTTCCAGTCCATTTTTGACGGTCATCTCTCATCTCATCTATTTCGACCGTATACAGTCTGTAGACTGCTACTCTCAGTGCAGCACTGTAATCCTGGAAGCTACGATCGTACACTTGCGGCTAAGTTACGCCAACCGGATCGCGCTTCGTCGATTAACGAACCGATATTGTCATTATTCAGCGGACTCTTTCTACACACAAGCCCATCCATCAACTTAGGTTCCCCCGTTTGGAATGCCTTGGTCACCCTCTTGATAGCATCTTGCTCCTGTGCTCGCATTCGCTTTCCTAGATCGTCAGCTGATTAGGTCGGACATGGAATCATTTTAACAGCCCTATGTAGGTACAGCACACTATTCCCCATGTACTCCGCAGCTAATAACCAGATTGCACCTGACGGTCACTTTATCGATTTTTTGTGGTATTTACGGCTTAATTTATGATCCTGTCAAGCCTTTTCAGCCAATTTCATAACATTGCTTCCTCCGTCACACCCAAACATATCGTAGATGGACTTTTCTAGCTTGAGCTGTATGGCTGTCAGAGCATTATTCGTTCACACTCTCAAGTGTGAGGTCTGATTCCATCCTTACGTTCGTAATGGTGACGGAGCTTTACCTCGCGATGAGTCCTGTTTCTTATCGAGATCACCTGCCGCTGCAGAACCCGAAATGTGGGAGCTTGTCTCTGCAATGCAGCGAGCGAATAGGATGCTACCAGATCATGCAAAGCAGCGTGTATTGGCCTACGTTTTAGCTTCACTGTTTCTTTCGTGTTTTGCTAAATGGTTGTGCACTAATCGTTTGGTAAACTTACTCCATATCAGGTACCGCGAACGCCACATCTGACTTGCGTGTATGCGAATTCGAGCTGACAGACCGTGGCGAAGTAAGTGACTCGTTAGCATATTAGTATTCTTCGTTGCCTTTAACTCAAGGTGACCGTTTTTTTCAATCGCTCTCGCGCTTATATAGACTACTGCTTGCTTGTATTTTTTCAGCCTTGTAAACTCATGCATTTTGACCAATCCCATTACTTGTGAGCTCTAGCTAACGGCTCTCTCCTTGTCCAAGTTCCTTCTTTAACATCCTCGTGGCTGCTGCGTTCGACCCTGAGTTCCCCTTCTTGTGGGGCGGTCTTCTTAGTTATCTCAGTTGGAGTACATTACATGCATCTAAATGCCTGGCTATCCTTTCGTCATTTTGGGCCATATTATCGTGTTACCTTCCCCCAAACCCATTGGGGTCTTTCACGCCAACCTTGTTAAAACTAGAGCCCTCTGGGGCACCATTGTCACCGGAAGGCAAAGTGGCTTCCGCCTAAATCATCTAGACTTTACACTGACCTCCCCACAAAACCTATATATTGGCCTGCATTCACTGTTTTTCTCCATGTAGCCAGTAATGTTACCGATAGTCTGTCCGGTTTTGTTTAGCGTTTTTTCCAAGAACTTTCGTTTCATTTGCAGATCGCATCCATTCGCCATTTGGCTCTTCCAAGCACGCTGTTTCATTATCTCCCGGGGGGCTTTGAATACTTGGTTCGCGCCGGTTGGACTCCCGATGGTGAATAGTAAGCATTCCCCCCACACCAATTACTTTCCGATTCGGATCCCATTTCTTTCTTGATTCTAGTTTGCGTCCACGCAACGGCGTTAGGACGTTGCTGCAACTTCTCTGGACTTAACGGTTCGGCTCCACCACTACATTCTGCCTCACTGTGTGTCCTCGAATGAGAATTCTGTTCATCTTCAGTTATTCCTCCTGATTGTTCCGTTCAGCGCTCGTGTCTTCTTTCGCGCCAGCAGCTTTGTTTCTTGTGTTAAACGTCGTGCGTCGGTAACCAGATCGTTCCCAGCTGGCTGAGTTGTGATAAACTTGTGTGCCCCAATATCAACTTGCTTGCAAACACGATCACGCGTGGCCTTCCCTGTTTGACCTTATGCAGAATCTATCTATGGGAACCCATGGGGTAATACCTATTTTGAAGATATTTAGCAGACCGGACCTGTTTAAACACGCAGTCATTTATTTAGCGCAACAGTGCGGTCCCATAACGTCAAGGATCCATGAGCGTTCAGTCACGGTCACAGTTCGGTTAATCGGACGTATACTCACTACACAGCTCCCTCCTCTCTACGAGACTTCATCGATCACATACCCCTTCTCCCCTAGAATACAATGTAATGTTCAGTCGCTGTTAGCAGCCTTCTTAGTTGACCGTATTAGTAGTAGTAAAACCATCCAAACTGTATCGAATATACGACGGCTTACTGTCACACCGAATTTTTCTACTGCTGTTCGTTGCACATGGATCTTGACGGTACTTTACCCTATGGAGTAACCGGGGTCAGCCGTGCTAGTGTTTAACCCACCCCATCCTTCCATCATCATTATCAAGCAGTACATCAGCCATTTGAACTAATGCTTCTCTGTCCTACAACCATAACGACCTACGGAACAAAGAATGATAAGACGGGAGAAAGGCAACTTACGGGGAAACCTTAGTGATCTAAGCAAGCATTCAGGGTCAAGGCGCCTACATCTTGTCAACAACATGCCATCACGAACAGCTGGCTATTGGGCAAAGATAAGGTGGCATCGGCGATATAGCTTCTTTGCGGCTTTAATTGCCCCACGTCATAATCAGCTATTACCCCGCAGATAACTCAGCACCAAACGGGTAGTCCTACTAGATGATGGCAGCAGATGCGCCACTGGTGTCGGCTGCGAGACATCCTGTAAAGACTCGAGCCAAGCACAAGGCCGGTCACGTGGACTCCAGTCTGCAAGGTGAGCCGGACGGACTATACCAAGTTTAGTCATCAACGACTTCATCTCCCGCTGCCAAATTAACTTTTGTCCATTTCAAGGTCTGCGCCACCCTACTTTTGGCAGGCAAAATATGGCCCTCTTGGGTAAGAGGTGATCGGGCGTACGTAATATGTGCCCAAGCCAATGCAACTTATTCAATTCTATCCGTTGTTCTAAAGAACTAGCTTGGGTATCATTGCCTCATACTCACCCACGCACATCATCGTTGCGAACACGTTGGTGCCACCCGACACCAGCAATGTTCCGCAGACAGCGATGATCAAAGACGAAGGCGCCTCAGATCTTCAGACCGAAAGGTCCGTCTCACCCGCATAAAGCAGGATGGCCCTCACTGTGGCCTTGTAAACATGGTCCTTTAGACGGAGTGAAACCTCTATCTGTCACCAAATATGTCGCAGATTCAAAAAGATAATTCTATCTTTTGCAATACGTGAACTGACTTCACTTGCTATGAACCCAAGGTAAGTGATTTGATCAACTATCTCGAGTTCCTCGCTATCTATGGTCAAGCGTTCATCAAGTGGCTTGTGGTCCTGCAACAACACTTGACACTTTGAAGATGCTAAGCGCGTACCAAATAATCGGGCCACTATAGAGAGCTTATTCATGGTTGATTGGGACGTCCCGACATCGTTAAACAACAAGATGATATCGTCCGTTTAATCAAGATCAACTAGCCATTTATCATGCAGGACCTCAACGCCAGCGTCATGAGGCTCCGCAAAAGAACACTCCATAATGGAGTCCACGAAAAAATTGATTAAAAATGGGGAAGTTGCTAAATCCTGACGAATGCCACTTAATGTCGGAAACACCGATCCGCGCAAGTGTTTCGAACAGAGTGCATCGATCTACTGAGTCGAACGCACTCTTGAAACAGAGGAACACAGCCATTGTCGATCTGCGGTATGCATGGCGCTGTTCTAACATCACCCTCAGACTAAACATGTGCTCTATACTGCGTTGTCCTGGGCGGAAAACTGCTTGCCCTTCCCGAATCCGAGATTCTCATTCCACAGGGAGGCGACGAACGAAAATTGAGGCCAGTAGTTTTGTCACGACTGACGTTGAGCTAATACCCTTATGGTTAGCACAGTCGGTACGACTGCTCCTCTTGTATGCTGCCACTATAATCGATACATTCCATTTACCCGGCACAGCCTTCTCCTTCCATACATGTTCGAACAGTGATGTCAGTGCTTTGCAGAGGACCTCACCTCCATCCTTAAATAGTGCAGGTGGAAGGGAATCCGGGTCAACAGCACGAAAACGATTGAGGGCTGTGATCGCGTTTCGCGCCTCAGTCTCCGATGAAGCCTCTAAACTAACCATCCATGGCTCGTCCTTAATCATCACCTGAGTAGGAAGAGGTCCGGGAGCAGGGGGCCAGCTGAACTGATTTTGAAAATGTTCCGCTCAACGAGCACCTGCACTGCCTCTGATTGTCTCACTGATGCCTGGTTCTCTGGGACCAGTGGTACGGATCAGTTGGAATAGCTTGCGGTGTTTGCTTGCTGCTTCTGCCTCTTCCATTTCTTGAGCCTGACTGGCCCAGCAGGCTTTCTTGTCCGTACACAGGCTGCGCTTTAGCTTGCGCCCAATAGTCCGTCTGGTCACATTGTGCTCAAAGTCTGCCGGGAGTTTTCTTCTGGATTCCAACAGGTTCACCGACCTCTCGGATATCCAGTGACTGGTGCAGGGACGATTGCTAGTTTCACTAGCTTATGCTTCTGCGTCGTACATGGCTGTCGAGATCCTATTCCACTGAAGCTCATTGTCATTAGCACAAGACAGCGAAACTTCGGTATGCACTGCGTCTTGATACGCTTGGCTGCCCGAGGGCTGAGACAATTTCTCAATTGCCAATCGCGGGGGACGCTTGGTGCGCCTGTTCATAAAGTTCATGGAAAAGCCACAGCATACCAATGCGTGATCTGAGTCGATGCAAGTACTCCAGAACGAGCGACAATCCAGGACGAAATCACGCCAACTGTAACAAGGCAATGTTACCTGTTTGCGTCCATCGCTGGCCAGCTACAGGAGCACACCAAGTGGCACTTCGGCACGCACTGTGTGTAATAGCGGTGCTACTCAGAAACAACCGGTGCTCCGCAGACAGTTGCAATAGACACTCGCCTTTGTCAGTCCGTTCGGAGTTAAGCCCATCATTACCATCAAGTTAAGCTTCTGAAAAGCCAAGGCGACCTACTTGTGCATTCATATCCCTTGCAAGCACTGTGATATGTGAACTGTTAACACTGCTTTGTGGCGTGTTCGGTTCGTGTTAGAATGTGTTATTGACAGTATCAGAACTGCAGGCATTGGGAGGATAAGCGGAAACCGCAAACAATCAGTGTCTTAGACTACTTCGCGAATCAACCTTAGTTGATGTCGTCAAACGAGTTACTCACAAACGGCTATCCACCGGAAACCAATGATTTATCAGTCTTGTAGCTGAGTACGATACCTATCCCAGCTTGACCAGAGGCTGCCGCATCAATGTCTCCGGATGCGTGCAACCAGTGGCGCTGTTCGTGTTATTCCGAATCAATTTTACTCTTGGTGTTCTCAATGCGCTCAATTGGGATCGATTCGACGTTATCCACGCCAGCCAGCGAGAGGTCAACCTGGACTCATTGCTGCTCTCTCGTTGGCTACCAACACACAACCAAGTGAACCTTGCTTCTTTCCATCACTGCAGTGATCGGAGAGAGCAACACCGAAACTCCACTTCGGATACGGTCCTGTTGGGCGGAATGGCAGAGGCCACAATTGAGATTGCATTTCATTATCCAAGACACGGCAGGTTCTGCGAAACGCGACAATGAATCTTGCATTCTTCTTGTTACGAGTATAAGAACTTGGGTTTATCTAGCTTATTTCCCCTACGTTTGCCTGTTTTGTTTGACGTCGCCTATATCACTGTCCTTTTTATAGAGTAGATAGGTGAATGAAAACACGATCATTCGTCTCCTTACATATTTCTTCAGGCTCCCATACTGTGATGCAAGTGCCAATTAGACTAGACGGTTCAGCCAATCAATCAGCCCCCCCCCCAATCGATTTCACGCTCAATCTACCCATTCTGTGGTCACATCAGCTGAAGTTCCATGCTCAAGTGACTGCTAGTTGGACGGGTATCAGATGCTCAGAGTTAGCCTGAGTGCTATTCGTAGTTGATTTTCACCCAGTCAATTGCCAGATCCTGACTTTAAAAACACCTGTTACTGATTGGTTTTGGAGTATCAGTGAAACTGGGCTTCCAAGCAGTATGTTTGGCGATCTACTCGCCTTCTTTCTTGTTCATTACATTGTCTGTTCCTAGAGAGCTGATCTTCTTGGCACTATACAATTTGTTAGAACTATTGCACTTATTCAGTGCCAGGTTCCGCGACCGGTGACGAGAGGGATGAGACGTCTGCCGTCCTGTAACCCGAAGGTTCCCGGTTCGTAACTGCGTAGGTACAGGCGTGCAGCTGGTGGTGGTCGCATGGCAGCGGACCGTCGGTGCGCCTCAGTGGCGTACTATTGGCGTTTCTTCACCATAGGTCCCTTCTAACTCATCCTTTGGGCTCGTTTTTTGTGTCCAACATCCACCCATTTGAATGTGCAAATTCGCCCACATGCCTACTCGCGTATCTCCAGCTTCTTAATCAACTGGCTCACTATCGGTTATTGAGATCGGAATTCATGAACCATATGTGGTCCTCCAACGAGCTAAAAGTTCACTCTATTCTTCAATCCCCTTTTTCTCTCTGCATATAATCTCCCCACCCATCGGCGCATATTCAGCACTTGATCCCTGATCTGGACCTGCATCGCTGACTTGGCAAAGTGGTAGCATCCACCATACCGTTGTTATGACAAAAAAGGCGTTAGTACGATGCAAACACACCGTACGGACGTTTCGCCGCCACGCGACCACCACTGGTCGCGCGTTGGCCGGGTGTACCGCGAAGTAGGCCGCACTATGCGGATTCGAATCGGTAACTTCCAGATTACAAGTCCAGCCCGTAATTCCCTCGGTCAACGCCTGTAAGGGCAGTCGATGGACGTAGTACTGGTCGCTATCACCATTTAAACTCCTGTTTGCTGCATCTTTTATTTACGCCCAACTGGGCCGTCACCTTCATCTCAGCTATCGGACGCATCTTTTCTTCCATTTTCATCAATTTTCCAGAAAATGTTGAGCTTTCATCTTGCAGCAGACCTTTTGGCTGACTGTTTGGTATATGAATGCCTAAGGCTTGTTCTTATTCCCCGTTTAGTGCGCAAATCTCCAACAGTTCTTCACTTTTGTCTTTCTTGGGCCGTGCTGCAGCTGTCAATCGTTTTTACTCATTCGCTAAGAAACTGCTACAAATTTGGTAACATTCTCGATTATCTTCTCTTCTGTGTGATAACATCGTGTCCACTATTTTTTCGCATCTCCCTACCTAAACGACCTATTTGGTTAACCCTGGCGGCCACTGTCTTTTCCACATGTATAGGTCTTCCTGTACTTCCTGTCGGTCTGTGTGACACTGAAATGCACAGATGGCTAAGCAGATGGATTTGAATGTACTGTTCTACCCAGTCTACTGCAACCAGTCGCAACCAGTCTACCGGGAGTTTCAATATACTCACAGGTCCAGCTCCTCGTATTGCGCTGCAAACGCCCCTTCCTCTCCTTATCTTAGTCCGTGTTATGTGTTCCTTTCCTAAAACGACCACTGTAGTGTTGTTATCAATCTCTCCATTCGCGGCGAATTTCGTTGCGTTTCAAGTCCTATTCTGGTTTCATCCCACTGGATGTGTTACCTACCAGGGTTGCGCGTTCTATTAATTTCCGTTTTCAATGAACTCTGTAACAACCTACCCTGTTCAGCTGCTACCCACTGCCTTAAAAAATCCAACAGAGGGAACACGAAATGCTTGCCCATTTTGTTTCGCCATCACTTTTTCTGTTCTCATTGTTTACGTGTCAGCCAAATCCAAGTGGTTTTTCAATTCATATATCATTTATGAATACGGTGGGATATCAGCTTGTCGGTTAAAGTTAGAGCATACTACTTTGCGATGTGGTCGGTGTTACTGAATGCATCTGAGACATGACCACTTCGCGCGAAAGGTGTTGAAAGATTGATCGTCTACTTACTGGCACAGCTGGTGGCGCTTCACCGTTAACACTCCATCTCGATTACTTTTATTTGTGTATCCGTGTACCACTCCACTTTTCTCGCTTTGCTCATTTCTCTGAAGCTTATCGACGCGAGTGGTAGCAACTGGATCCACTGCACTCCAGTTTCCGGATCACAGTCGTTTAACTGAGCTGAACTTGTCTTGTTTTATCTGCACGAAATAACTGGATGTTCCGTTTGTTCGATATTTTCTTTTTTGTTTGGCTGCAATGAATTATGGTCTATAAGTGAGGAGGCCGGTCGATCGATCCGGCGATGCATCAGAGCAATACGGCGTTCGACACAGCAGCAGGCGTTCAGAGAGAACGCAGCATGCGATAGCGAACATATTTTCCGACCGCACTCTTTCAAACCAAACGGGGAATAAATATAGCAGCGGAATGGGAAATACACGACAAGATCCAACAGGCTGCTTGTGCGCGTTCTCGAGATAACAACGTGAAGCGTAATTTTGGTTTACACCATATACAAATGTAAACTAGTCCTTTAAACTGACATGCAAATACTGGATATTCAGGGGTGAATGTCACGGCACCCTTTTCGACTCTTTTTTGGACATTCCCTCGGCGTCCCGCGGTTGTCAGCCCATCCTAATCTGTGCTCTCCACCCGTGTTGTCGAGAATGTATCCGCATCCGCACGTCTTTTGGATCAGGTCAGATGGGACGAGTTTGTGTTTGCTTTTACAACGGATTCCCCCTTGTGTCTCTTTGCCTGCGTCTCCGCGTCATGCGAACGTCGCACAGAATTTACCTGTTGACTCGTCTACTAGTGTTAACCGCGACTAAATTCCACTTTATGTTCACTACTTGGTACCCGTTAACGGTGCGACTGAGATGATTATGATCTAGCCATTCTACCTGCATTAGTTTCGCATTGGATTTATATCTGATAACCGTCTCTCTCCCCGTTACTTTCTTGGTTCATTTTTTGCAGCGTCTGGTGTCAGCTGATGCCGAGATCACAAGGCCGTTTGGAACTCATTCTGATCCCATTGTCACACTTTACATCCTTCTCTCCTCCGATTGACGCGGATCCGCATACCAAGCCTAGATCGCCGTGCATTCGCCTGTTGATTGAATCTGAGCCCGAGCTTTGGGTGAACGTATGTTTTACTCGTTGTTTCTATTTTTTGAACAGTTAATTTAATTTCTCACACGATCCACTGCAACCGGTATCTTAAGTTTGCGATGATCGGTCACCTTCCGCTGCCAACCAGTCATCCTCCCACACATCCGGAGGAAATCGCTAGCCGAGTGTTTTCTCCTGTTGGGTCTCATCATTGTCGCGATCATCCCCTCCCTCACAGTTCCACCACTTAGGGCCTGTCGATGACAGTGGCTTATGTTGGGCAACGGGTGTCGATGTCTGGTCGCCATTACTGATAGCTAGACATCTGACGCCTTTTTGCAGCGGCTCGGAGAATCGTGCTGGGCACCGCAGGCTAGAAGGCTGTTTTCTCTATTGACGGTCTAGCAGCTATCCACATTTTCATTATATATATATATATATATATATATATATATATATATATATATAGGTAGCTTATTAAACGTGAAACAGCTTTGTCCCCTATAAATCTTTGGCCATCCTCTGTGGGCTATATCACAACACACACGAGCCAAGGCTACTTCGAAGGCATTCTTACCATGAATTTGGTTTTCGCTCCGTACCTTCAAACGTTCCACACTATCTGCCTTCTCTAATCATTCACGCATAGATCTCGCGTTGGCTAGTCGAATCAGTTGTTCCAGGTTCGAAATTCCAAATTAGGATATCAGACGATTCAGACTGAACGGATTCTCTCATTTCGTCCGTTCTGTTTAGTCACTACACGCAACCAACAAATCATCCAAAGGGTAGGTTACTTACGATTGATTAGGCGCTCCTTGCTGCCACTGTCGGTTGTTTTTCGACGCAAAGCATCGGCTGCTGGCGATCAACAACAGTGACCTCGGTGGGCTTGAAAATCTTGTGGACTTTGATTGCACATCATATCGGTGAACGCGCATGTATTGCGGTTCACCCGGTGGTCTGTGTTCAGTGATTCCCTCTCTATTACTTGTAAAACTGGACTTATCGGCTTCATTGATGCAACTGTCACGTTCACTCCTTTTGCAAAGTCACTGGATTGTATCCATTGGTACGGACTCCTAGATTTCGACCAATGCGCCCAACATAGGGTGTCTTCACAGCTACACGTGAATTTGTATAAACAGTTTGACGGGCGTTACTTCCGTCTCAGCGTCTTCAGTGAACACTAAAACAATGGTCTCGTAGGCACGTGCAAGCGTAGCTCTACCGAATCTACGTGTCTGACACAATGGAGTGACGGGCGCTGAACTTTGGCTGCCGTTTGTCACTCAGCCGAAACGACAAGTTTACAACAGTTGTAGGGGTAATTTCAACATACATTGTTTAGAAATCCTTGCGACGATCGGAGAACACTTCAAAGCCGATCTGCAAGAGCTTGTAACCAGAGTGCCTCTTTACAACCAAGATTTGCCTTCACGTTTCAGAACTGGTAAAAGACCATATGTGCTTGAGCTTGTATTCACCAACGAGGAACATCATCGTCATCGTTATTATGCACGTTAGCTAAAGGTGGAAAACGCCTCAGCTACTGTGTCGCAGTACATAAAATAAAAATGGCAACTACAGTTGCATAACAATTGAGCCACCGTTAACGGATAGGCTTCGTTCCGGAAACCTACCAGCGGGCCACTAGGCCACAAAAAATTATTATATAAAATTATGTTATGCTAAGTAATAGGATCGTGATTGGAAGGGGAGGCTAAGAGGGATGGGGAGGGACAACGAAATTCACAGCACGAACGCCATTTAGGTCGGCCCTTGACACCATGTCAGCAAGTGTATCTTGCCAAACGTATTCATCGTCTTTCGGACCCCAACCAGAAAGCCGAGACGCTCCTACCGAGGCCAACTTCAAAGTGTGGGCCTTCATTCCTCTTGACCAAGTCATCGCTTGGCCACCTCTCCTCTTCTTCCATCCAAATAACGCACGTTGTGGGAGCCGGTGGGCTGGCATGCGTAACACGTGGCCGAGCCATCGGAGCTCATGCCTGAAATGACGGTACTGAGCAGTTGTTTTTCCTGTGCCGTAAAGAAAGCGTCGACCACGCTCGTTGCTTACGCGGTGTTCTTACCAGATGTGAGCCAAACTGCAAACACACCGTTGGTCACACGTAACTAACGTCTTTATGTCGGCGAATCTGAGGGTCAGGTTTCACAGCCGTAAAGGAGTTAAACTTACGGCTGCACGGTACAGTCTGCCCTTCAGTGAGACTGATGTCGCACCGGCGCCATAGGTGGCGGAAGTTAACAAAAGCGCTTCGAGCTTTTGCCATACTACTTGTGATCTCGTCTTCGACCCCAAGGAGACTGATACAACTTCTCTGGTAGTTTCAATTTTTGTACGGTTTCTAGCTGCTCCCACCCATGGTCAGTGCAGGAGGCGGTCCATGCCAATCCTGTGGGCGAGCTTCGCACTCTGAAGGTACAAAGTCAAGCCCGAAGCGGCTGACAGCCAATGCTAATATTTCTAGTGAAGTTTGACACATTTAGGAGCTGTCACAGATGAGGACAATGTTGTCCGCATACTTCAAGTCAAGAAGTTGTTCAGCTGGGAGCAATTTCACACCATCTAAATCGTGTCCTGTGGACGCGATCTTCATGACTTCTTTAATTGCGTCGTTTAAGAGGAAAGGTGACAGCGGGCATCCTTGTCTCACACCGCTGGAGATACTGAAGTGCGGCAACAGCTTGCCCTAAGCCCTCACTGTGCCCGTGCTACGCGCTTATAACGTTGTGATAATATTTAAATATTTCTCGGGCGCTTTTTTCTTGAACAGGCAGTCCCAAAGGGCAGTTCGATAAACAGAATCTAATACACCTTTGCTGTCCAGGAACTTGACAACGGTGGACCGCCAATATGTGAGCCGGTGGTCCAACAGCTGATGCAATGTGAAGATGTGGTCGATGCAGCCACGCCGTCGATGAAACCCGGCTTGCTGTTCACGTATCCGGCTTTCACGAGTGCCAGTCAATCTGTTAAGGTTGACAGATGCCAGCAACTTGTAGGCGATGGAGAACAGACACTTCTCTATGGTTGCCGCATTCTGATCGTGAGTCTCCCTTGAAAATTGGGACTTCATTGGGTTGGGGCAATTTCCTGCTCCTCCAGTAACTCGTGTAAACCATCCACAGGAGCAATGTTCTGGATTTTAAGAGGGCTGACGGAAGATCTTAAATGCATATCATTGATATATTAGTTGTAAAATGCTCCCTTTATCGTAGTGATCATGCAGACATCAATTTCAACTTCATCTGCCATGCAGAATATCGGAATGAAAACTTTGAGACTGTGCGCGAACAATCACGCGCTACCATCGATCAGCCCAGCTCGTCGGTGACCCAACCTGGTCGTTCCTCGCTGAAAACTTATCGGAATTCGCCTTGGTCAATGTCGTCAGCAAATGCAATCGACTGGTTGCCAATGTTTCAGAGAAAAAGCTTTACGATGGGCCTAAAACAGTTTCTTCCGTTGGGAGCAAAACTCGAAAATACATGGTAGTACGCAATGCAGCATGCATCATCTCCAACACCGGATACTTGGTGCAACTGCGTAGCCTAAGCTAGGCACTGCACTCAACTGTTCAGAGAAGCAAAACCGCATCTCAGCAGAACATAGCGACAATATTCAGCGCTAACCACAAACTGCCATACAAGCATTTCAGTGGGCTTCGCAAGGTGAGTCACGGATTTGGTCGCACTCCGGACGACTGGTGGTCCTACAAGAACGGACATAGGTGCCGCAAACGTGTTACGGACGCAATACGCCCTTACATTTCGGAGGGTTTTAACACTTTTTATTGATCTGCCGCCGTGACTCAACTACATCACTTTTACCGCGGAAGCTGCATTTGCTGAAGCTGACGTCTCTATGTAACCGCAGCTCTCAGAGTGTCGATACTATTCGCCTAGAAGCATTGGAAGCAGCAGGAAGACAACTGGTAAAACCTTTTGCCCAGTTCTTTTGGCGCTGCTTGGTCCAGAACCAGATCCAGGCGATGTGGAAGGTTGGAATAATAACTTTGATCCACAAAGGCGGAAGCGAGACTGAGCCCTTAACTTACCTCCCGATATCTCTTCTTCCTTTACTGCACTGCACTGGAGCAGTCTCAACGTTGGGCATCCAAATACGTCATTGGAATGAGCGTCCTGCCATGCGATCAAATGCTGTATCCTTTGGGAGTATTCAGCGTACAGTATCGCCGATTACAAAACGATCTGGTAGTGGCATACTTGATTTTACACAATCCAAATCATGTGTACCACTTTGTACCGCAACTCAGAGGTAACAAAGACTTGAGAGGCCACTCCTTGCAACTAACGGAATAGTACAGCCTAAACCAGAAGTTGGCGTGTATCACGAACTTTTTAGGATAAGTAACCAAGGACTGGGTCTTACGACTCGATTTGCTTCCGCTGACTTACTACATTATCAGTTAATTTTTGGCGACCTGATGTTTCATGTTTCTTTGTGTTTATAGGACGAGTTCACCCGGAAACCTTCGATCGCCATCTGTTGTGCATCAACCCCTTCTTGGGGAGATCAGCTATCGATGACTTTCACCAGCCCTTTTTAAATTCTGGGGACCAGGTCTCATGGATGATTTACACAACGCCAGGTGAAGCTGTGGGAGCAGGAAATTGTCCCAACAGACTGGAGCCGCTCCGTCACAGTCCGAATTCTTGATGGTGACTCACGTTCGATATGTGGCAATCATAAAGGAATCAGTCTGATCTTAATTACCTCTAAGGTACTCGTCTCTGTCGTTCTCCATAGATTTATTTGCATTTGTTAAAGCCAGCTTCGTGAGGAGCAAGCTGTGTTACTTCGCAATCGAGGCTTCTTCACATCACACCACTTGTTGGAACATTGCCATATTTATTGGCGAACCATCGTTGTCGTGTTACTGGACATCAAAGCTGCCTTCGATTCGATTGATTCATGTGACCTTTAGGACTGTCTTCTCAGGAAAGATGTGCCCGATAGATATGTTGTATGAACGCTGTGCGAGC